AAAGAAAAAAAAAAAAAAAAAAGAAAAGGAAAAAACGGATTTAGACAATCGTTGCGCAATTGCGTCGATCGATTCGCGGAGGTTGAATCGCATCTGTCCAAACAAAAAAAAATCGGCCGGCGACTGTGCAAACACAATTAACCAGCCGAAAGAAAAGGTTTTCGAGCCGCATATTTTTCCACGTAGCAAGTTTCCAACTACATCGGCGAATTCCTACACAGGCCATACGGACGGCTGCTTTCACCAATTTGAGCCGGCTAATTACGCGCTAAATAGCCGTTCATGCAGCACCGTGGTGCACCTATTTTCTCTATTCGCCGTTCGCCGCGTCCCTTGTTAGACCGCTTACGTTACCGCTCTCGGTTGATCGATAGCGTAATTATTTAATTACGCGGCCGTATCGACGCTCCTTCCGCCCTGTCGCCCATCCTGTCCACGGCCACGGTTTTTTCCTTTTTGCTTTTTCACTCGGCCAGGCGCTTTTCCTTAAACCGGCTGCGGTGACGAGGCTCGATGAAAATCGACGTTGAAAAAGTCCAAGGATCTTTAGATGTTTGGATCCGTGGAACGTTCAAATAAGAATGTATATATATTTATACATGTTTATTAGTTAATCTTGTTGATTTTTATTCTGTGTGTTACGAGAAATGAATGGATCGAGATAATAAAAAGTTAAGGCAAAATCTTAGGTATCGATTATTTTTTGATGAGATATACCTCCATTTTAATAAAGAAATGTGAGAGACGTTTATTTAGCGCGAAAGAAAAAAGCCTCGAAAATTGGATATATTATTTTAAATGTAAAGAAAAAGAAATAAAAAAATTTAACAACCGAGGAACAGAAAATTGACTTAAGATAAGACTTTTTTTCGATAACCTTTCCTTAATATAAAAAACTTTGTCTTCCAAACACCAATTAAATTACACCGTTCAATTTAAGTGACCAATGGAGAAATGCCACTACTTTTTTCCTACTCTCTGTTCCAGGTGAAAATTTGGTTCCAGAACAGGCGAGCCAAGGCGAAGCGTCTCCAGGAGGCGGAAATCGAGAAGCTGAGGCTGTCCGCGAGGCCGTTGCTGCACCCGAGTTTCGGCTCTGGCCTAATGTTCTCCGGAGTGGGGCCACCTGGAACACCAGGAGTGCCTCCCTTCATCGCGGCGGCCATGGCTAGGCACACCCATGTCGCCGCCGCGGCGGCCATGTTCATGGGGCCCCCTGGACACAGGCCTTAATAAGGGAGAGGCGAGCCGCGCTGGTCCGAGTCGCTCGTATCCTGCCCAGTCCGCCTCTTCCTTGCTCGTGAACGAAAACTGTGCGTTAAAAAAACTTGTAATCCAACGAAAGAACGAAAAGCTTGGCCAACTCGGGGAGGGAAATTTTCTCGAACGCGAGTAAACGGTGATGGGTTTGGAGAATATTACGACGATTTATCAGGCCGTGTTTCGAGGTCGCAGTGATCTGATTTGTGATCGTGGATTACATTGAAATTAAAAAAACCAAACTTTAAAAAGTTCCTTCGAAACCCATCACTGTCCAAAGGGATGTCGAATGGAGCGAGAAACATTTAATTAATTCATGTGATTAACCCAGTGAAACATTGTTGGAAGCTCGGGACGAGGAAATTCGTCGTTGGAGAGCGAAGAGTTAAATTCGACTTTAACTGCCTTCTTCTTTCACCGCGTCGAGGAACAGTATTTCGAAGTTTGTGACGAAACTTCCTCCCCCTCCTCCTGCACATCCTTTTATTTTTCTACGTTCGCGAATATTAACGGTTCGCGTGGATAAGACTCGATTGAATTTGAACGATCGTTCGAAGCATTTAGAAAGCATTTCAAGCCGTTGATCTCACTCATCACGAAACAAGGTTATCATCACGAAGTTACTACGATTGTATCGTGTACATATTGTAAATAGATTCTCTATCCGCGTATAAGTGTGTACGTATGTATATATAAATATTAATATAAATATCGACACGCGTGTACAGGACTTTGCGAACGAGTTGAGAGGCGAAAGAAAGAATTTGCTGGAAATGGACGACGTTATTATTCGCTCCTTCGACTCGTTTCGTTTCTACTTGAAGTATATATAAATTTACTTGGGATGAGAGCGTGGTTGAAGTTATGATCTACTTCGCTACTAGAACAGATGATATTCCCAAAATCGATCGATTCGAGAACGTCTCGTTCGTTTGATAAATAAAATATGGGGGAAGAAAAGGAATTTTTTGATTTTTCTTTTCTCTTTTTTCGAACGAAACGGATACGAAAAAAAAAAAAAAAAAAAGAAATTCGAAGAGCGTGTACATACGTGTCCAAGGGAAAAATGTAAATTCCGATGTAGGATCGAGATTCACACCGCGACGAGGTCACTGCGGATGTACCTTAAGCGCCCTGTATAAATGTAACATGATAATTTATCCATGGAAGTATACCATAGCGAAATAAAAATGATTTCAGTATTTAAACCGCCGATTTGTACCGATTACTCTTCCCTCACGAATTTATTTATTTATCGAGAGATTCGAATAATCATCAACGGTTTTCAGGTAAGTGAATATATATATATATATATAATATAAAAAGGAAGGTGAAAATTACGATCGAATTCGAGATCAAATGTTCCTAATTAATCGTACGCGAGGCTTTCACACGAGTGAAAGTGAAGAATATTTTCTTTTTTCGAATCGATGGTCATTGATGAACCCGATTAGAGCGGGAATAAAAGAGAATAAAAGAATAAAAGGAAAACAATGATCGATCCATCGTTGAAGTATTATGTCTTATGGAACGTAACTGGAGAGAAAATAAATAAATAAATAGATAAATGAAAAGAAGGAAGGGAGAGGAGAAAAGGAAGATGAAAAAGTTTGGACGAAACGTATCGCAAAGTCATCGGCGGGGAGAGTGGCGTGGCCTCTCGTATATGGCAAGTAGTCGAGGCAGCGGTATAGGGCGGCCGAAAGTGTTCGGCGGATAATTAGAAATATGTTAATCCGGCGTAGCCGCTAATTGGTTTTTGACTAAATTTTTAATTAAGTCTTAAACCCGGGCGGCGCGTTGATTTATCTCTCTCTCTCTCTCTCTCTCTCTCTCTGGGCCCTTTGGCTAATTATAAAATATACGTATACATATATATAGTGTCCACGCACACTCGTATCCAGACCCTTGTACACCTGTCCGTATAACCTTTTCACGAGTCCCTTCGCATTCTTCCATCTTTCGTCGATACTTGGTCTTAAACGTTGTTTTAATTGGAAATGATCCTTTCTTTCTTTCTTTATTCTTGTTCTTGGAAATTCGTTCGATTCGTTGTCTACTTTATTTTAATCTCGACGAATTCTTTGTTGAACGTAATTTTTGCAAAGAGATTTCGAGAAAAGTAGGAATCTATGAGGTAAAATTTGTTATTACGAGTATAGGTATAAAAGGAACGTGAGTACGTGGTAAAGAAAACGATAAGTAAAAAAAAGTAATGATAGGAAAATGACGGAGATTAGACGGATATGTTTTACAGTGAAGTGTTTGAATATGCATAATTAATGAGAAAAAGATTTATATAGGGTGAATTTAGGAAAGTGGCTTGCAAGTGGGACGACTTTAATTATTTTTGCTAATATGTCGAATAATATTGCATACAAGATCCATTAATTGTTTGTTTTCAAATTAAAAAATCAGGTAAATTACATGTATCTTATCACATGTGAAAAGTACCTTTTAAAGTATCTTTTAAGCTACGATTTATTGACTAAAAAATAATGAATATTCAAAAATTAAAACAATATGTTATAAATGTTAATAAAATTATGAAATCAAAAACTAATACAATAGAAAATTTCTCCAGAGGCAATAAATATATTATGACATTATTGAATCAGGTCAATTTAATTCTCATAAGGGTTAGGAACTTTAACGAATTCAGTGAAATCAGAAAATCAGCTATCATTTTAATATCTCCTGGAAACATTGATTGAAAATAGTTAACAATACAAAAAAATGATGATATTCTCGAAAAAAAAAAATATCGAGAGATGCGAGGAATAATACAGAAAGATATTCAAAAAAAGAAAGTAACTTTTTGTTTTATTAAGCTCATATACTTTTTCTGAGCCTGAAGAATTAATATAGAATTCAATTATATTTTTCTTTTCCAAAATCTACAAGTATTTCTCCTTTTGCTTTTTAATATTATAAATCTATATACATTTGCAAATATATATTTTATAGATATCAGTTATATGGTGTATTAATTATTTAAAAAAAAATGTAACTTCCTTCTGCTTACTTAAATAAAAATACTTAAATTATTATAATTAGCAGCTAAACAGAGAGAATTAAAATCATAAAAATTTTTACAATTTAAACAAAGACTTCGTTCGTTCGCATATATATATATATATATATAAATTGCAAATCGACTCGACGCCAATGCATGGATTCGCTACTCCACCTTCTACTCCCTATCTGCAAGAACCGGGGTAGAGCCAACTGAAACGGTCTAGAACGAGAAGGCCTCTGGTTCCACTGGCACGTCCGATCAAAGAAGTTCGCCGCCTTCTTTGAATCCCTGGACCGCTCGTAACTGTCGTCCCTTCGGCGACCGAGACCAGTAGCCTAATTGTTCGTACCGGTGGCGCTGATATACCGGTTATTAGAACCGGCCAAATCGTCGGGAATCGTTGTCCCCGTTTTCACGATCAATTCCCAACAAAGATCCCTTTATCGGACGTAATAAACAAAACTAAAACTTTTAAACGACGTTTATACGACCGATCAGATTGATAAACGTCGAAGCTCGAGTCGAATCGTGCGACGCGCGCGAGCGTAAATCTCGAGTGGAATTCGAAAGACAGGCAAGTCGAGACCTAAAGCAGAGCGTATTCGTCAGTGGCGTGACTAGAGGGCACAAAGCACGATATCGGACGGAGGCGGACGCACGAGAACCGTGAACCGACTTTCCCCTCTTTATACGGAACTCCATCTTGGCCGAGGATCACCTACGTGAGCATTGAGACGGAGAGAGAGAGAGAGAGAGAGAGAGAGAGAGAGAGAGAGAGAGAGAGAGCGAGAGAGAGAGAGAGAGAGGAAACTACGTACTACGCGTCGAGAGGTCGAAGGAGGACGGGGTTGGTGGGGGAGGGGGCTCGAAAAGAAGGAGAGCAAACGGCGACCCTCTAGAACGACGATTTACCGTTAAAGGGTTTACAAACAGGCGCCAGGTATTCGCTACCTCCGCGGATCGGAAGCTCTCTCGGCCTATCCACCTTTATTCAAGTACGAACGAAGGCAACGTTCCCGCCGTCGCTCGTTTCCTTTCTCGCTCCTCCGTCGCTCCTTGGCCACCGTTTCACCACGGATTCCCTCCACGATGGAGGAGAAGTCTGTTACACACGCCGCTCCCATATAGATGAAATTTATGTACGAGGCCGACCGATCCTACGCATGCGGCCACATTGAGCGCTGACAATTAATTAAAGAATAATTTCTTGTCTTCGCGATACCCGGAGGAGCGTCGCCAGTTGGCGGCCAATTATGCCTCGGGACGAGAACGGAATACCAAGCAGGCCTGTCCACGGCATCGACGGAGAGAGAGGGAGGGAAGGAGGGAGGGAGAGAGAGCGATTCCTTCGATGCGTCCGCGCAACGCTACCGCTCTTCGCCAGACTTCTCTCTTCTCGAATCCTTTTCTCCTCGCCCGTCTTCTTCTCTTTCGCGACTCCTTGCCTACTGCGCGCCCCACACGCGCACAATCGACGTGGATTTCGAACGGAACGGATTTCGCGCGCTCGGGGGAATTTTCTTCAACCGCGACGGAATAATCGGGCGTGTAATACGCGATTCTATTCCAGGGGTGATGCGTTTGGATCTCTTCTTATTACTCCTCTGTTCCCATAGAAAATCGTGGAATGAAAATAAAATTGTAAAGAGACAGATCCGAGTTTTGCATCTCGAATTTTCGATTGTGTTGTTTAATTTCGTGTATATATATTCAGAATAGAATTATAAAGATTATGAAATAGGATTAAATTTATACGATAAATTTCTAATATTAGATCTCGAAGATTTCGTTATGACGCAAGGGGTTAAATTATCGTAAGTAATATAAGAATAAGTAAGATAAGAATCTGATAGATTTTGGTTATTTTTATTTTTATGATGATCTTCATCTTTATGAAACTGATGTTTTAGATTATTATATATCGAGTAATTGAAAGTGAGTATTATATTGTATTCATTATACCACGCAAAATAAATTTAATATCAAATGAAAAAATGTAAGAAATCTGTACAAACATCTGTTTATTATAATACATTGTGTTAGTTGTATTTGTTATTTAATCGATTTCAATTGGATCAGGAATAAAATTTAAAAAATGACTTCCAATTTGATTTTTCGGATAACTGATTGAGGAAGAAGCAAATTTATCACGAAATAATTAATTATTTTTAAATACTATTCCAAGATATGGATTATTAAACACGCTATTTTAACTACATATGCATCTTTTATTCGGATCACTCGAATACAGTTCAATTTCGACAAACAAATAGAACTCAATCAGAGTCAGACGTGAAAAATCTCCTGAATTCTCATCGCGATGTACTCTCTCCACAAACACGCGACTATCACTACACTCTTATATAAAATAAATACTTGGAAAAATACTCGAAGAGAAATACTCGAAGAGGGTACACGCGCTCGTTCTCAAATTCTTCCTTCGATCCAAACTTATTGATTCGACCATTATTATATACAATATCGTCCCAATTAAAATTGCCCTCGAAATTACATTTCCTTTAACGACAATCCGGATATCGGATTCGTGTTCAAAAATCAAAAAAGCGTGTCATCATCGTAGCATCTTGCTTTCCGAACCGCCCGAAACATCTCCCAAAACTCGCCGCTCCCCAAAAAAGGGTAGAGCTGTTTTTTAAGTGCTAGCCGCTGGACCGGAAGGTCGGCCCTGGACTGAGTGGAGGGGGTAAAAAAATTCACGGTTAACGCGTGCATCGAAAGCAGGCCTCCCCTCATTCAGTTTATCCAAATTAATTGGTCGTAAATTAAGCCGGCCGGTCGCGACGAGCGCGGCGAAACGAAGCTGAAAAGAGAGAGCTAGAGAAGGAGAAGGGAGAGAGGAGAGGGGGGCCGTGACGACGGAGCGGATCTCGTCGGGATCCGAGCGAGCGAGCGAGCGAGCGAGAGAGAGAGAGAGATAGAGGCCCTCTCTCCCTTCCGAGGGACGAGGACAGAGCGATACGGCGTAACGAGAGCGAGACGAGGACGACCGAGAGAGAAAGGTCGGGCCGAGAAGAAGACGTAGATAGGAGCGTGGAGAGCGAGGGCCGAGAAGTAGGGAGGGAGTGGGTTACCTGAGAGCGCAGGGGAGGGGAGGGGAGAGGAGAGA